CATCCATGAGTCAGAGTTGTTAACATCTGCAGAAAACTGAGATAGGCCTGAGCAAGCCTGGCAGTTTCCTCTGGATGAGGAGCGGCGTTTGGAGAAGCCATCTGCCCCATCGTGTACCTGCTGTCTCTTCTCCTAAGCTAATGGGCATTGACCACTTGCAATTTAGGTCATACAGTCTAAGCCTTGCAGAGGCAGGTAAGAGGAAAGTGAGAGGAAAGTACAGTTAGGGCTTTGAGGGCTTTTCTGGAAGGAATCCAGAATCAAATAATCAAACATCAATGCCAGCAAGTCTGACATTGTGTGGAGTGATCTTTTTGTTCCCCCTTTTGCCCTTTTTTTTTTTTTTTGAATTATTTTTGTTCAAGACACTTTTTCCTGCTCTATTTTCTCCATCTTCTCTTTTTAAGGCCTTCTCTTTCTTTCCTTCTCTTCTCTCTATTTCTATGCTTTTTTTTTTCTTTTTTCTCATGTAAGGTGTGAACTATAAGTTAATGAAAGCAATGAGATTGTAACAGTGTGAAATAACTTCAAGCAGCAAACAAGGCCATATTTTCTCCCACTTTACCTTTGCTCATCTTCATTTCTTTCCCCTGCCTTAGCCATTAGAAAAGCAGCCTGGTGTTGAGGATGTTCTAACCCACCATATGCATGTGATGGAAGTGAGGAAGCACCAGTGAATTTCTAGATGCCACGTTGAAATGGTTTCCTATGCTGTCTTTTGAAATGTCTGTTCTATTGCTGAGTTATTGAGGGAGGAGAACAGAACAATGAGAGACATTTGCTTGAAAGGAAAAGCAACTCCTTTACTGTGCATAGACTTCCTCACTATGACTGCTGCTCTAATGAGTGAAGGGCTTTGACAGCCATCTAGTGGCTGGCTTTTTTTTTTTTTTTTTAAATACAGTTTCAAAATTCCAAAATTGGACCTGGGCATGTCAGTGCATGATATGAATTTTCTTCCAAAACAGTGATATATAAGCTCTGAATATGGTGCTTTATTATATAAGCTGTAGCTGACTGACCTCTGGTCAGATAGATCTTTAACACAAAAGTGATTTTCCAACATGCCAGTATACAGCAATAGCAAATAAAAATCACATTGTACGGAAAATGCTTTGCATTTAATTTCTCTTTTTCACAAAGATCCTACTTACAAACACATGGATGAGTCCTTAAACATGTCACATGATATTTTTTGTACCTCATCTATTATATTTGCAGAATGTTTTGAGCCTAATTTGCACTAACCTAGGTAGATTTATAACTCTGTAGATTCTCTGCTCAAGTCCAATATCATTTATAGTTGCACTTTGTTGTAAAGAAAGGAATTGCTTAACTGGCTAGTATATAACTGCCACATAAAAAAAAATTCAAACCCTCTGAAACCATTTAGCATCTCGCGTTACAACTTCTGAAGGCGAAAGGGAGACTTGCGAGACAAAGAATGCGTGACGCTCTCTATAATTAACCTTGTTGATTCCCAAACAAGGGAAGAAACAGTGTAGAACAATTTCCTTTGCTGCTTTTTCCACTCTGGGTATAACCCGCAACATGACTACACTTCAGGCCTGACAGTAAAATGTCACAAAGTGCTTGTGGGTTGAGTTGGAACTGAAATAACTGCTTTTTCCAGGTTCCTCTGTCAGCATATTGCAGCCACAGAATAAAGGAAGGCTAGAACCTGGAACATGATCAAAGGATAGTAGGATTAAAAATGTGCTTTCTGGAATTATTAAAATTTTTTCATTATCAGCATACCTGCAATCTGACAGGAAAACAGACTTAAAAATATTTCCAGAAGTTAGTATGTGCTCTTTTTCTCTCTTTCTGCCTTCCTCCCTCCCTCCCTCTTTCAGTGAGTCGCTGAGAGGGGCTCAGGCAGAAGCTAGTCACCATCTGGCTCAACTCTCATTTGCCAAAGCAGTTGCTATGTGGTTTATTTGAAGTTATGACAGAATGCTGACTTTGGACTCAGTAACTTTAAAATTTCATTTATGCAAACTGCTGCTCTTCTCAGCGGCACAATGAGTTCTACTGGTGATACATGAAGGAAGACATAGACCATATGCCAGACATCTGGGGAAAAAAAGGCTAAATCTGTCAGTGCGTTATGTCATGCACACAAGAGAGAAGTGAGAAGAACACTTTCCAGAACACATTCTGCAGCTTGGAAAATGATTCTTACAGTGTCATAAATGGACTGTACAGCAAACTTGGTTGATGTCTTTACTTCACACTGAAAACATTTCCTCCTGAGCTTCTGCAGTACCCCTTTGAGTCCTTTTGTCAACTTGTGTGATACTCCAGTTGAAGGGAGGACTTGACCTGGCATGCATTTGGTTTTCAGTTTCTGTTTGAAAGCTTCAGAAACTCGTGATGGCAGGCAACAGTTAATGCCGCATCTGGTCCCTTCCTTCCAGCCTTGAGATTGATAGAATAACCGGACTTAGGTCATGAAGTTGAAATCCCAGATCTGTTCATATTTATTGCTTCATGATTTTCTGATTACATCTGGTTTATATTATGGGTGAAATGTAGAGAACAGTGAAACTGTCATTGTGCTTAAGGACTGTTAATTTTTACTATGGTAACATTTCTTTTTCTAAAGTAATTGTTATGATCTATGGCCACTTGGATGTGTTCCGTATATGTATGTCTAATTGCTCCTGTTCCCAGTCTTAGTTTGGTGAGAGTTGGTTGGAAACTACCAGATAAGGGTTTTAGCTGGATTTTATGAGTTTCTAAAATATTTTTGATAAGAAGGTTTTGTGGTTAGATGGAGCCCACAGTATCCCAGGGGTTAGGACAATCATTTGGGATGGAGGGGGCTCTCCTTGAAGGCTTTTCCGTGTATGACCTGTGTATAACGGTATGTGCAGGGGCTGTTGTGTACCCTGCTCTTTTTATTGAAGAAAGGGGGAATTTTGAAAATTTTAAGTTCTGTCAGAACAGTAAAAAGGAGAGAAAAAGAAATTCAACCTAGAGAAGGCACTTAAGGATGTGTAACTTTAATAAAATATGATGACCACCCTAGAAATGTGAGAACATGCACACAGGGAAAACATTTGTGACTAGTCAGGAAAGGCCATTCCTGCAGAAATTGTCATGTAGGACATCTTTTATATATAGTTGAGAAATATAAGAAATAATTTATATGTGCCATGAGCGTCTGTGCAATACTGCCATGAGTCTGGCTTCATAAAGCACCTGCAGCAGTAAGTAGCTGACATATGCAGTTTCTTACCAAAGTATCATGGACTCTTCTTTGTAGTCAGATTTCTGTAATGCTGTGCACAAGAATTGCAAAGAGCTGGCACATGGAAGGAATTCCTCAAATCAAATTTAGCACCCCACTGAGCAGAATGATGGTCAAAGCCTCCTAAGGCAATATTCATTTGAGAAAAGATATCGTGGTGATTTTGTGTACTCGAAGATGCCTTTTTTATTTTTTCCTAATCCAGAAATAAGACAGGAAAAAGGAATGAAGTTTAAGATCAATGATATTTTAAAGACCTTAAAAATGACATCAACAATGATGATGTTTCTTCTTTTCATCTTATGATGCCGCTTTTGAATTCTGAACATGCTCTTTGCTTGTACAGACCTACTCCTCCTCTGGTTTCAGAGTTAGAATATCCATTCTATATTCCCTGTCCTTTCCTAGGAGAAGATGGGGAAGAAATAGCCTGCACGCAGAATGGCCAGATGTACCTGAACAGAGATATTTGGAAGCCCTCACCATGCCAGATTTGTGTCTGCGACAATGGAGCTATCCTGTGTGATGAAATCCAGTGTCAAGATATGCTGGAATGCGAGAACCCGCAGGTGCCCCCGGGAGAGTGCTGCCCTGTGTGTCCCCATACAACCCGCGACTTTGACACAACCATTGGTAAGATTGGTTTCAGTTTGCTTTTTTGAAAGGAGAGCTAGTCAGGCTGGCCCTCTGAATGGTGCTTGCTCTGCTGCTGTGGTTCAAAATGGACCACAGAGAAGGTGTTTAAATCTGTGTCTGTTCCTAGTTTGCAATTTGAATATGCTGCAAGATTAATGCTAGATTTAAAGTTCTCTAAAATCAACCCAAAAAAGTAGGAACCTTGGGATACTTTAATAGTATTTCCATAGTAAAGGTTTAAATCTGCACAGAATCAATACTTGGCAGTTATTTTTCTTCTAAGATTGCACCTGAGCTGGCTCTGGAGAATGTTCTCTTCTGACCAGGAATCTGATACAAGTCCAAAGGCTTTATAGCTAAAAAGTTGATCTGAATTCCATCTTGATATTTCAAGAAGGTTGAATTCTGCATACCTTTTCCGGTTTATCTGGAACTAAAAAATGTATACATTAATGATATATCAGAAAATCAGTGTATTGTTTGGCAAAATGCTCAATTCCTGGCCCCTCTATATTTTATAAACAAATAAATATAAACATTATTTTAGTGTGAAGTGATTCCTCAAAGTGGGAAGTACAGATGGCCAATTCATGAAGCCAGTTCAACATTTATGTAATACTAATGCAAACTACTTCTGAAATGGAAAATAAATTGTAGGAAGTATTTTGAACTCTGTTTGTATATTTTCCATACCTTAAACATTATCTCTTTTCCAGTCGTTTTTTTTTTTCATAGAGATACTTGGATCAGGCAATCACCCCAAAATTTTCGTAAGAGAAAAAATTCTGGACATGCAATTAACACTCATTAATACCGTGTATTACATTATTTGAACTACATTCAATTTATAATAATTAAAGCATTTTTTTTTTACGAGGGATATAATTGCTGTTAGCTAGCTTAATATAGAATGAAAAAGTGATAAAGAGACCATAGCAGGAACTTGTGTAATTGAGCAGTGGAACAAGATGTAGCATGCATTAATAGGTGGTGCATCCTGCTGTGTTTGGGGAGGCATCAGGCCAACACTAATACACCCCACAGATATAAGAGAATTATAGACACATTCCAGGATTCCTTAATGTTATGTTTTAGATTCTTGTTAGACATTTCTTTTGCTCAAGTCAGTAGCAAAACTTTCAATCTCACTGCCAAACATTAGGCTAATGGTAAAAACTAGTAAAAGTTTCTCACAAGATATAAGGCCTTCCTAAAGTGCTTTGTCTTATTCTGTGCAACAATGAAAAAGACTGGGGATCAGGGAGCAACACTGGAAATCCTGTGAACTTATTCCTACACTATCTTCTGTGCATCCAGGATGTTGGATGCACAGAAGATAGTAATAGGAAGGTTACAACACCTTCATGCAATTCTTATCATGCACTGTGTCTTAGAGTAAAAACATTAACTTTCTCCTTTTTCTTTCTTTTGCTCACTTCAATAGGTCGAGGAAGAAAGGTAAGATTTCATTTTAGACTTCTGAAAGAATATCTTAAAAATATTAAAGTCTTTCACATCTCATTGGAGTATTTCACAGAAATTATATATATATGCTTTTGTAAAAGCATTTAGTTTATGTTAACATGCACAAGTAGATATCAAAAAACAATATCAGTGTCATCAGTGAAATGCATGTGGTCTTTTTTCTTATTCTTCCTCAGTGGTTAGGAGTTTGCAGCCCAAATAGAAAAAAAAATCCTGAAAGACAAGACATTGGCAAAAATGCTGGTCTTAATATAGGGAATACCTTGGTTGAAAATACCTTCAATCTGGGTTTAACTGGGATTAGATAAATCCCAGTTTAAGTCCTCTGTTTGATCTCTAGTGGTACCACAGAATAAGGAAAGGGCCTATTGGGTCATTAGGATCCAGACTTTTAGGACTGTCAGCTTTTTTCTTTGCTAAGACTTAACTGTGTAGTGTGCCATGGCTAATGCAATCCTTCTTTAAACACTATTACCTCATTTGCTAAAGCTTTGCACGGGCAGGATGTCTGTGTTGTGACCCACGCTGTCACTGCAGCTTCTCAAGGCTTCCTTAGGTTAGTTCTAGACTTCCTAACCAATATCCCTTCCTTCACGCGCACAGTGTCCGTACATGTTAAAGATATGGATTAGCTATGGTAGATATTTCAGTTTAGTCTCAGCTGTATAGCAGTAGACAAGCCTTGGCATTTGTCACATGGCAGTGACCATTTTGCTGTAACCATTCCGGTTAATTATATGTCATCAATTAATATGCCACCTGATATGGTTGTGTATCTTTCTGCAGGGACAAAAAGGCGAACCTGGAGTAGTTCCACCTGTAAGTTCACCTTTTAATTTTATCAGCACTCTCTGAAAGTGTAATTTTTCAGTGTTTTATAGCAGAATTTCAGTGAATAACAAAACAAAATAAAAATGTACGGCTATTAAAGGAATGAAATTAATCGTTCTGTGTCACATGTGTACCATTGGAAATTCTTGTTAATTGTATTTCAGGAAAAAATGTTTATTAAAAATCTCATAATCTTTATTTTTATAGTTAGAACTTCGTGAAGATGTAATGGTAATTTAGTATTTGGACAGTGCAGAAATATTAGGGAAAACTGGTAAATAAATTCTCACTTTCCATTATGGAAGGATGTAAATAAAAATAGAGTAACAGAGATTGTCACTGTCATTCACTTATTCATTTCAACTTTTTTAAAAAGGTTTATTGAATCTCTAGTTTTAGTTAATTTCATTTTTTTTACACAAAATACTTACAGTCTTGCCAAGATTTTGCTTGTGCAACTTACAGAAAAACTACAAAACTGAGAAGAGAGAACCAATTAAAAAATCTTATTTTTTCAAAATGCCTTCCAACTTGCCAAGTAGCCTATTAATCTCTGTTACCATTTATTTTTCAGCAAATAGTTTCATGCAGAGTAGGCATACATCCCTAATGCTATGCAATAATTTCCATTTGTATCGCCTTCTTTAGGTTTCAGGAATACGAGGCCGGCCGGGACCAGCTGTGAGTAGTTTCTGGACTTCTGTGTCCTTAATGACAGTATTAATTCCCAGTTTTTGCCACTCCTGTTTTGTATTGGGAGTACGATGTGCAGGAGGGATGTGTCTGTGTGCCATGCTGCGGGAGGTGAGGAGGTTACCAGGATTACAGGATCCTGCAGCAGTGCCAGGTTAGCCCCATGCCATGGGTGAGTGGATGGATGTTCTGTAGTACATACGTGTCTGAGGCCCTGTAGTGCAAAGTTGTTGCTGAGGAGAATTTTTCCAGCAGGGATCTTTTTAGTGAAAGGAGATGCAGTATGTTCCCTGGGTACAACTAAGTGGAGAGCAATTCTGGATAAGAAGAGCGGGTGTCTCAAAATTGTGCATGTCCATGTGAAGAGCCTCCACATTTAGAAAACCTTTGCTAAATTGAGGTCTAGAGCACAAGACATGAAACCATTTTAAACGTCTCTGCATCCTGCTTCTACTCCCTTCAGGCAATATGGGATGGAGAAGAAATCATTTGTGGTTGTAACCCTTTTCTTTATGATCATGTGACAGAGAGTCACAAATAAATTTTCACATTTATTTCAGATCTTTAGCATCATGAAAAGGTAATTAATATTTCTAATCTCTCTTCTAGGGACCTCCAGGTTCACAAGGACCCCGAGGAGAGCGAGGACCTAAGGGAAGACCTGTAAGTTATTAAATATTCTCAGAAATTAAGTACTGGACTAACCTCAAAATGTCTCCTTCCTTCTGGACTTCCAAGTACTTTCCTTGTATTTCCCAGGAATCAGCAAGCAAACATAAAATTGTTTATTTCTAATTGTTCTCTGTTTAACTTGAAACCTCAGTATTTGGAGAAAACGGACATGGATTTAGCAGCATTTCCACCAAATTCATGATTTTTCAGCTGTTACCCAAAGTAGTGTGTGAGTACTGCTTTCTCCAGGTTTTTTTTAAAACAGAAGGACAAAATCCTGAAACATCACATTCCTCTGTTGAACTGCCTGCTGACTTTTTTACTAGTGACTACTGTGTGTCAAAAGCAATTTTAACTCTAAGTCTCAGATCATTTCAGAATAGAAGACAGAGCTCAGGAAGTTAGTAGGAGTTAATATGTGACCACATATATTGGTATGCTGGTGAATAATATAATCAAGATTGCTCAGTGGAAATAAAGACTTCATAGGGGAATTTCAGCGTCTGTGTGTGGAGAACCACAGAAAAGCTGAAAGGGACAGCTGTAAGCTGAAAGACCACATGATCCTATTGAAAACGCTAGGTAAAAATGTAGAAGTTTCTTTTAACAAGTTTTAAAGACTTGTATCATTTTAATTTGTGTTTGGATATTTTTCTATCCCTGTGAAGAGTATAAGCCAATACTTAACATATTTTGTCTGAATAACAAACTTCAGATTTAGGCCACAGTCCTTGAATTAACTCCTTTCCACTGTTTCCCCAGTGAGTCACTGTTGTCCATAGATGGTCATGACACTTACTAGTAAAGACGTGGAATCAGTGCGTAGCCTCTTTGAGAAAGATGCCAAGCCACCTCTGCTGTCTAGATGACCATAAGATGGTTGTACAATGAATAACTCTGAAGCTGCATAAAAGAATTGATGGAGTAATTGGAAAATCTTGCAGTGTGTAGAGGAATGTAGAGTGAGTTTACAGAGACATTTAAGTTCCCAATGAAATACTAAATAATTGCTGACTCTGTTCCATAGGTACCTTTTGTATTCCTTTCTAGAGGAGTGGCTAGAATTATATAGGACTTCAGAAATAGTAGGCACTCACCTGTGCTAGGATTCTCTCTGCATTTTACAAAAGCAGGACATTTGGACAAAAAGTAAAATCAGGAATGTATACATGTTTTTTACGTCTAATGTAGCCATCAAATTCTTTGCTGGTGTTACAATGAGAGATAAATACCTAGAGAATAACATATGTGAGTTTACAGAATGAATCTTGAAAGGTTAGTTTTGGAGCATGACCCAATCTCATGCGATTACAAATGATTTTTTGGAAGACAGAAGATCAGGCTTGCTCATAGCCGTCACTGTGTTTTGTTTCACGACGGTTTTACACTGCATAGTGGTTGCAGCAACTGTAGGACAGAGACACCTGAACGTGCTCTCCCGGAAACTGCTTTTCCCCCAGTGAGGAAAGATTTCCCCGTAGGCAGAATCTGCGTCCGGGTTTTGCAGAGCCGGGATAACTGGTTTCCCTGCTCTGGGTGTGTGTTTAGCGGATGCCCCCTGGTGGATCATGCGGAATTTTTTAAAGACCATTTCATTGACCTTGATCTGTGAAGGAAAATGTTTTATGCATATAAACAAGAATTTATAAAAATAAAGCAATAAGTGTTGGTGATATAGCACTGGATAGGTGCAAACCTTTTTGTCTGGATCCTGGGGAAAACGGTTTGCTGTGTTGTTGAAACGGTTTGATTTCTGGTGACAAAAAAAAAAATGCGCTTAGCCTTATGTCTTCCTGCACCACAGTGTATCTGCGCCCTTGGCCTAAGGCTGGGGTTCTGATTCAAATTCAGTTTTCTGAGAAGGATTTACTGCCTGTGGAATAATTAAAGCATGTGGAGAGCAAAGACACATATCATGGACATAATTTAAAGACATAGTTGCTTACTTGGTGTTCCACAACTTTGGCATTCTTAAATTGCGATTTTTAACAACAGGACTGAATTGTCTAGGAGAGGTTTTGCCCCCTCCCCCCTCCCCTTTTTTTTTTGTTGTTGAATCAGGTTTTGTTAAGGTGCCTTAGTCTAAATACTAACAGTCAGTAGTCATTTTAGAGTAGCTTGATGAATTGTTTATTGGCAAACATGTTTTTCCCTAATGCTTAGCTTAGTTTTCTTTTGTTTCTGAAAAAAAACTTCAAGGTAATACCTTATACTGGTCCTCTTTAGACAGTAGGGACTTTACGTTTTTTTTTTTTTTTTTTTTGAGGAATAGTATGATCTAGGATGGACTGATAGGGAGCCTGGGCATCTAAAAGAGCCTTGAGAGAAGTTACTAGAATTTTTTTGTGTGTTGGGTATGTGACTAATTTTAGTCAGTGCTTCTGATCTGAAGGTGGGAGCAGATGTTGAGGGATGCTGTTTAGTTGATGATGTTTTTTTGTGGAAATGCAGATTTATCATGTAACTGACAGACAACTGTTTGGCTTGATGCTTTTAATAAAAACCTTCATGCAATGTTTGCATTTCTTCTTTTCTTTCTAGGGTCCACGTGGTCCTCAAGGAATTGATGGGGAACCTGGTATCCCTGGCCAGCCTGGTGATCCTGGTCCTCCAGGACATCCTACCCACCAAGGACCAGATGGACTAAGCAGGGTACGTTTCGCACATGATCTAGTAGAAAGTAAGGTGAATGAAGGGCTAGATGGACATGATACAGTGTTTGCTTCAGTGAATATGCAGCATCTTACAGAATCGGCCCTTTGGAGGTGCATAGCTTATAACCTCTTATATGACCAAGACTATAGTCATTTGGATAGCACTGTTGTACCTGCAGTTCATGTTCCACAGTCATTATGGAATAAAGCTAGAAACAGTGCAGATTCTGGCAGTAGAGCTGATTAATGAGTTTTCTCAAGGTGAATTTGGGAAAACTTTTAAAAGGCATACCTTTCATAGTGTATTTTAACATCTAGAAGAGCTAAGGTGCCCAAATCTAAAACCCTTAGTGCAATTCGATTAATTCTACTTGACTTAGACCCAAGGGATCAGGGCAATAGTACGGAGAAAGTAGAAAACAAAATTAGGAACTCAGAAAAGAAAAATTTCAGATTGATTTTTACAATCAGCAAAAGCAATGAAAATGTGGTTTGGTCTAGTTCTTAATGAAATGGTGAATTGCTTCTTGCTGGAATTATTCAGGCCAAATGGTAGATGATTTAAGTTAATAAGGATCTGTGAAAAGCAATGGTAGTCAGCTTTGGATAGAAGTGAGGTGTTCTGCAAGGCATCTTTTTCACAGGTTCTGTGAAACACTAACTATGGTCAATAATGAAATATATATTTGAGAGTTTCAAGTATATTCAGTTACACACCTGTTACTGTTTTGAAGGTACCTGTATTGATTTTTCACTCCACTGTTCCTGTAACAACAAGGAGCTTATATTGATGACAAGCTGGAATTCTGAAGTCAGGGCAATAGCCTGCAATTTGGGGTAGCATTTCTGGATTTAAATACCTTCCCAAATAATCCAGTAGAAACAGTTACAGGGAATCTCTTTAGCACAGGTGAATCCTTTAGAATCACAAAGCCAGGATGGGGGCTGGACCCCATTCTTCATAGATTTAACTAGGAAGTATGCAAGAATAGTCAGTTCTTTAAGTGATTTTTGGTTTTTGTTCTTCTGTCTAAAGTCTTTAGGCTTTTCAGAAGTGTGTTTAGGCACCAATCTGATGCAAATCAAGACCTAAGTTATAGAAGAGCTGAATACACATTTCTGCTGTTAGTCCTCCTCAAACATGCTCTGAGCTGCCAGGTGTCAGGATCTAGTCTTGAAAGAAGCAAAATAAAACTGTTGACTGAAGCTGTGTCGGGAAGCACAAAGGCAGAAGAGAGGGGCGCCAACAATTCATTGCTCCAACTCATTTGTCTGTGTGGATTGACATGATGTGCAGCAGCCTTTCACCTTTGCTGACTCAGGGGAACATCCTCAGTATTACAATTTACAGTGATAAAATCAGCTATGTTTCTATTTAGCTGTAGATGTTTCTGAACTGGAAGCATAGTAAGTGAAAAGAAACCAAAGTCTTAGAAGACATGAAAAAATACTGCAGTTGAAGCTCGGGACTGATTTAAATTTGAAGGCAGCGAAAGTCCTGTGAAGACAGTGGAAGTGTCTGTTGCATATGATGCCTTGTGAATCATCAGCAAGACTGCCAGCTAAAATCACATGTTTTTTTCAGCCATTTTCAGCTCAGATGGCAGGACTGGATGAGAAATCTGGACTTGGTAGCCAGATGGGACTGATGCCTGGTTCAGTGGTAAGAACAGATTACCTTCATATTGTAAAGCAGGTGTGAAGGAATGATGCAGAAGGGGAATGGATCCTCTTCAAATTCATATGCTTATTGAACATACATACAGTGTGTTTTAGTGTGGTTTTACAAAGGGTTTAAAAACAATGGAAAATTTTCTTCTATTGGAATGAAAGCGTTTTTTCCAACTTCCTCTGTCCCTCCTGCTATCTTTCTTCCCTCTTTCTTAAATACAAAAGCTACTACCAGTAAGGCACAGAAAAAAAAAGCACCTTCTACCTTTCTCATTTCTCGAGTCACTGCAGAGTTAGCCCTTCAGAATAGACAATTATGTAACTTTGAAGGTTTCTTTTTCATTTTGTGACATCAAAGATTATTTTTAGTAGCATTTTAAAAGATTTTTTTCTGAAACAAGCCATTAATTGAGAGCTGAACTTTGAAATTGCTATTATTTGAAAGCGGCATTCTATTTCTCCAGTGGCTCTGGTTTTATCATTAGTATCTCCCCCTTTTTAGATATGCCCATTTTTTTTTTTCTAGTGCCCTGGGAACTTAGTGATAATGTTGACATTTTTTACAATCTATAAACTTCCTTTCGCCACTCTAAGTTGTATCTACTAGAAATTGTGGGGTCATTTTTTACTATCTTTTCTCACCATGTCTGTTTATCATGTTTAATAGCTTGTTGGTATTGCTAGCTTTTTTGTTGTTATTTTTAACTTGCTTCCTTAAGGAAACAATCTTTCAGTGATTGCATTCTATCAAAAATTGCCTATCTGAACATTTTCTTTCCAAATTTCCTTTC